TTTTTTTTTTTTTTTTTTTTTTTTTTTTTTAAGGCCTTTATGCAAGGCCTCTATCCTGGTGGTGTATTTGGCGGTGTTTCACTAAATCAAGTGACCAGTTTCCCCCATGAAATTCCAGGACCTCCGACACGTGCTTTTGAGTTCCCTTCCAAGTCAGCCCACTTAAAATAAAATAAAATAGAAAACAAAAAAAAAAACAAGAAGCTTCCCATCTTAAAGAAAAAAAAAAAAACACGTGCTTTTGAGTTCCCTTCCTAGTCAGCCCACTTAAAATAAAAAAAAATAAAAAAAATAAAAAAAAAACAAGAAGCTTCCCATCCTACACCCGTCAGTCTCACAGTCCTGATCCTCCTCCTCCTCCTCCTCGCCCAACCTTATCACCTATCACTACAGCTATGGAGGCTATGGCCGTGCTAACATAATCTCCGACCAGTACATGGCGCCGACCAGCAGCATCTGGTACCAGCACAATCAGCAGCAGCCTTGCATAGCAGCACTTGGCCACGAGCCAGCGCAAGGCACGATGTCTTTCCCCGTGGCCTGACCGTCCTTAAACCACCAGTACATGCCGGCCATCAGCAACGGGCCCCTTGCGGAGGCCGCCTCCGTTTATTTATTTTATCGACGGTGCACGAGCCTGCAAAATTTTAGGAGAGGATCAATCGGACTCTCAACTTGGCTGGGGCCATGTACTTCTTTTTTTTTTTTTTTCTGGTGCTTTAAACCACCAGTACGTGGCCCCAGGCTTCTACAGAAATTTAGGAGGCCAAGCGCCGTAGATAAAAGGAACCGGCGGTGGGCGCCTCCGAAATGGGCCCACGGCCGATAGCTGGCATGGACTGGTGCTTTTTTAAGTAGCGTCGACTCAAGCTGAATGCCATGGACCAGTCCCTCCTTTGACCGTGACGACGGTCCAGATTTCCCGATCCTCGACGGCCCTGGATGCAGGCTTGAAGCAGAGGTACCATAGCCCAGTTGAGACTGCAATCTTCTGGATACCTGCAGACAACCGTTGATAGGCATCTGATCTATGGCCGTGGAGGACTACTGGGTTGACTTTGACTTTGGGCCTGTTTTTACCATGCTGACCTTGACTCTTGACTTTCCAAGAGTCACAACTGCCTCACGTGGGGGTTCTGGGCACAGCATTTGGCCACGAGATGCAACCTTTGAACCCCCTTTCTAGGCTTGACCAAGTCCTTCCCCCCCCTCTTCTAGGCTCCGACCCCTCTTTCCAGGCTTTGACCCCTCTTTCTAGGCTTGACCAAGTCCTTCCCCCCTCTTCTAGGCTTTGACCCCTCTTTCTAGGCTTGACCAAGTCCTTCCCCCCTCTTCTAGGCTTTGACCCCTCTTTCTAGGCTTGACCAAGTCTTTCCCCCCTCTTCTAGGCTTTGACCCCTCTTTGCAGGCTTTGACCCTCTCTTTCCAGGCTTTGACCCCTCTTTCTAGGCTTGACCAAGTCCTTCCCCCCTCTTCTAGGCTTCGACCCCTCTTTCCAGGCTTTGACCAAGTCGTCACTTTTGGTCAAAGCCTAGAAAAAAAGAGGGGTCAACGTTTGCGTCCCGGGGCTGAGGAATGCTGTGCCCAGAACCCCCACGTCAGACAGTTGACTCTTGGAAAATCACGAGCGCCCAGAACCCCCACTAGAAAGAGGGGGTCAAAGGTCTCACGTGGAGGTTCTAGGCCCGCTTTCAGGCATTCCTCAGCCCCGGGACGCAACCTTTGGCCCCTCTGTTTTCTAGGCTTCTACCAAAATTTATGACCCTTGCCCGCGACTGTACGGATTTGTTTGAACTAAGTTTATTAAACTGCGGTCGATTAAAAAAAAAAAAAAAAAAAAAAAAAACAATAATACCTACATAAAAAGCTAAGCTACCAAGTGGCCCGGGGTCACTTGCCCGGCCGGCCAAAAAGATTAAAATAATAATAATAATAATATTTTATTTTATGTTTTAAATTTGGTAAAGCATGTGAGCCTGAGGCAAAAGTTGTTTAGTTTATTTTTCTACATAACATAGTATTTTTTCAGATTTTTTGGATTGTTTTTTTTTTTGCTGGGACCTTCCCTTGTCCTTGCACGGGCTGGTAACCAGGGACCCGGGCGGCCTGGCTGGTAGCCTAGATAAAAAGTAAATTAAAAGTCAATACATATTACATATATAGATACAATCATCCGTTCGTCTATCCCACCCATCTGTAATTACATACTGCATACAATCGTTAAAATCAAAATTTCAAGTTCAGCGTTCACACCCCGACTTCTTCCCACCCTAATTCATAAGACTGTACAACAACTATACTACAACTGCACAACCCCAACACCAAAGACTAAGATTAAAATAAAAGAAAAGAAAAGAAAAAGATAAGTTTCACTTTCCTCTTCGAAAGACAGGTTGCAGTAATTTGTCAGTGGAACACACAACCTTCCACTTTGGATCCTTTAACATGACGCTGGACCCGGTTTCCAGCAGGTGACGCTCCCGACAAATGAATGAAGCACTGGATTAAAAAAAAAAAAAAAAAAAAAACTTCCACTTTGGATCGTGCAAAATACGTTTTGCAACAGCAAGATCGTCCTTTTTTTTCCTTTTTTTTCAAAGCAATCGGAGGTGGGTGCTAGGAGTGGTGATCATCCTTCATTCCGTCAGTCAGTACATTTGAAGTCATCGTCTTTCTTAGTCCCGACATGGACGACACACCGTGACAAACTCAAACTGATTTCCCCGACTGCTTGAGAAAACTGGAAATGACTGGTTGACAAAAGGGCCTAGTTGCAATACTACTCGCGGTCCACCAACATTTTGAATGCATCTGGACAAATTTGAGTCCAGATGCATTCGAAACGTTGGCGGATGGCATGTCCAGATGCAACTACCAGGCCCAAAGTAGAGAGTATTCAAGAGGATGACGCACTATGACGAATGCATCCGGACTCAGTTTTGTCCAGATGCACTAAAGAGGGATTCCCCGACTAGCATCACACCCGAATGCTCACGGCTTTGGAACAACAACAGAACTGTTCCTATCACCCTCAGCAATCCTTGTGTCCCCGTTTCGACTTCAACGTCACATTTTCTTTTTTTTTTCCTTCTCTTCTTTTCTTTTCTTTTCTTTTTTTCTTTTTCTTTTTTTTCCACCCTCACTTCTTCAAGGGAGCTTTGGGTAGTCTTGCTTGACCCAGAGACGATAGCAATTGTTGCATCTGCAGCTTGCCCTGAACATTGCCGATGAATTCCAAATCCTTCTCTAATGCCGCAGTCAACAAGGTCTCCTTTCTGCTCTGCAAGCCGGCATTCGTTTCTCTCCTTTTACCGAAGAAGACAGAGCCTTGCCGACCACCACCTGCAGTGACACTCTTGCGTGAGGGACTGAGGGGGGGAAACCCTTTGTCAGAACCCTTAGACGAGTCCGATCTGGCACTCCCTTGCCTCGAGAGCCTTTTGCTCGATTTCCGTTCTTTGAGGTGGCGTATACGAGGCAGTTGCAACGGAGTTGGAGTGGCCCCCTCCCCCTCGCCCCCTCGAGAGCCAGGTGTGCCAGGGGTAGCGGAGGTGGCGTCGGTTCCCGACGTGCCTGTCCCCCCCCCCCCACTCGCCGCTGCCTCGGAAACGCCCCCTGGAGTTACCCCCCCGCCTGCCGAGGTGGTTCCAATATCCGACGACGCCCCACCCTCCGCTGCAGCGTCATCGTCTCCCGATGCGAACTCCGATGGGTCGTCGGACATCGACCTCCCCAGTTCGCTTTGCAGCCGGAGCTGATAATACTTCTGTCTATCCGCGATTTCAATCGCTTTCTTCTTCATCTTCCTCTTCAGGTGGAAGATGCCACTGCAAATTCGCACCCACATGTAGATCAAGCCACACACGCGCGCCACGTTGAATGCCTCGGACTCTGTTACTTCCGACAGCACCACATCCACCCACTTCAGCACCGATTCGAAGTTCTTTTTCTTTTCGGTTTCTGTGTGTTCCATGAGAAAGGCGGGGACGTTCCCTCGCCGTCGTGTACTATGTTTAATGCGCACTGTTATGCCTAGCCGCTGAGCCATGTTCGCCTTGCCAAGAATGAACGGTCGCAGATTCCCCCAGCACTCAAGCAGGAAGGGGGTGTCGACGGGCCGGTCTGATGCCTTAAACATTCTCAGCTCCTTGAGGCATTCCTCATGGTTGCCGAACGGCAGCAGCTTACCTGATATCACCATGAAAAAGCACATCCACAAAGTGATCGTCACCGGGATAGGCCGCGCATAGCTCGCCATCTCTGCAGCCTGTGCACTCATGTCCGGCTCCTTCATGATCTCTACCACCTGAACATGCAGCAGAAGCAGTAGCACACCAGATTAGGATGGAACTCACAGAAAGAAACTCCAATAAGAGTAACACTCGTGAGTGAGCACACATACATGAAAAGTGATTCATGAGTGAGCAACAATAGACACGTAGATACCCAGTGAAAACAGTCAAATCAGGTTTCCTTCAAACCAGGGCACAATGATATATATATACTAGTTAATACAACAAGTACGGACCGATATGGAGCAAGAGCCATAAGTTTTTTTTTTTTTTTTTTTCAAGAGAGAGGC